GAGAGGCCTATGTCCACCAGTGGGTTATATTATAGGTTGATGATGATGTCTGTATTTAGAAATATATGAGTATATTTATCAGCAGTCACACACAGTCTTTACCCACTTTGAAATCAAACATTGATAAAAGATTACGACTTCTAAGTATTAGGTATATTTATATTGTAATTAAATAATTTTAAACAATACCGAAATTAAGTATATTTAGTAAAAGAACATTCGTAGAACAAATAAGTGTTATAAGACGAAAAATGTTAATAGAAATTACCTCAAGTACTGTTCATTTAAAAAAAGATAAGAAGTTTTAAGCTATTTACACCTTAAAACAGCGTTAACGGCACTGTTTTGGCAATGAAACAATTCTAGGAGGAAAATTATTAAACAAAAGACGTAACACCGCCATGAAACGAAGACGTAACACCGCCATGAAACGTGTACATCAAAGTCTTCGAAATCATCATCATCATCAACAGCCTATAACAGTCCACTGCTGGACATATGCCTCTCCTTAGAAAGGAGGTTTTGACCTACTATACCACGCTGGCCAGACGGGTTGATATAGGATTTGTTTCAAGTTTTCCTTCTCTTTGCAGTGTTGTTGTCCTGCGTGGTTTGCTCCCTTAGATGGCTCTCACGACACCCATGTCCATAGTCTTTTGTAATAGTAAAATACTTAGCATCAACACATTTAGCAGCGTATTTTTAATTTATTATTCACTTGATGGACAGGCATACTACTCTGTTACCCAAAATAAAACAAAGTCTAAGATGTCGTTAGACAAAGCTCATTTCAAGAAAATATTACATCCTGTAAATTTCATGGCGGGGGCTGTAAGATGAGATATATATTAATTCAAAATACACGGTTTTACCCATGTGTTAGTTTGGGACTGGTGAAATACCGCGTTCTAATAACGGCCGCCACCACCATCTTCATGTTTGCCGTAATTGGGCACACATACGCTACTCACAAAGACTAAAGGAACAAAAATAAATATATATTTTTCTGGATGTTTGAAGAGCTGTTGTTATTTTTTTAGAGAGCGTAGAACCCTTGGGCTCTTTTTTAGTTTAAAGGTTTAAATTAAAATTTTAAAGCTTTTGAGAAAAATAATTGGATTTTTTATAGTTTAATTTTCATGAGTAGCCAACAATGCTATTTTTTTCTTATATGAAAAAAAGTCCTTACTGAAAACCCTGATCATGGTGCCTCTATAAATACAGGGTGCGACATAAAGTCCACGTGAGCTATGACCGACGACATAATGCTGTTTTTATCACAACGAAGGCAGATTTGTCACGCGATCGGGGCCTCGCAGCAGATATAGTTTTGATTTCACATTTATTTTGGGATTTAGTTTATGTGAAGTCGTTTACTACTAAGATTATAAATGATTGCGCACAATATTGCGGATTTCATGGATTTATTTGTTGCTTCATATTTGAGGTTATGTGTAATTCCTATTAGATCACAAGATTACTACTGAAATCTAATCTATTTTATTATTTCTCCTTAATATATATATAGGTGTAAATCCATACTTATTTTATGCATAAACCACTAAACTGGTTTTAAACCATTCACCGATCGGAAGCTATTTTATCGGCGAGTAACATAGGCCACTTTTTACTTCGATAACTGACATATACGTGGGTTGAGCAGCGGGCAAAAGGCTAAATTGTATATATATAATAAAATAATATAATATTCTACCACATTCACACAACGCCATCTAGTCCCAAACTAAGCAGAGCTTGTACTATGGGTACTAGATAACTGATATAAACACATTTATACTTTTTTTTGTAAATACATACATATTTACATAGAAACACCCAGACCAAATCAAACATTAAAAGTTCATGCACACAAATGTTTGACTTGAGCTGGAATCGAACCCGCGACCTTTAGAATAGCAGTCCGTTACACAAACCACTACGCCATCCGGTCGTCAAAATATCTTATTTTACTATCGGTAACAAATTATTTTTAAATATCCATATCGTGTATATTCTTACTGAGTTTTAGACTACCTAAGTTCAGTATCACACAAATCTATAAACCATGGACATTATAATTATTACACCTCATGCTGAGCTCATCTCCTTGTGTCAATTTTAATTATGCAATTTCTAACCGACTTCAAAATTAAAAAAATTAAAAAGAATACCAACAAAGGTAAAAAGAGTTTAAAATAGCACCAACATAACCCATTAATTACTGCAAAGTGATTAGGTTTGAACATTTAAGAGACAGGTATATTCACCATTAATGCGACGGACAGTCCTCTTTGCAGAGGATCTCTGAATGCAGAAGAATGCTGCCTGGAATGCGAAGGTATGGCCACACAATGGGCAAGTATCATACCTGATACGAAATCGCTCCTAGAAGCCTATGAACGCCCCAGGAGGCTTCTACGCTTTTGGAAGGAGCTTGGTTGGTTCACCTAGCCAACCTGCAGACAGTCTAAATGCGGAAACCGGAGCACACAACCAATACCAATAGCAGGTATATGTCCCTTCAGTCTTCGGAAGACCACGACTAACCAAAGCTACTAGCGCTTTTTATTACGCTTCTAGTGGGTCAATAGAATCAATCAGCGTATTAGATGACATGTATGCTTATTTCTTTGATTAATGCAATAAAAATGTATTATGTAGTAAAGTAAAGAATCACAAAACTCATATCAAATTTTATCAACATATCATGTGTTTAACAAGGCAAATGAGATAAGGCAGATATTACTGCAAATATTCGCTTCTAAAAGTTCAAAAGTGATTATGTAGTCGAACTTTTACAGAATATTTCGGGTGTCTTAATAAAAGTATTTTTAGACGAAATCCCCTTTCCGGAAACAAGAAGGCTCTCATGAAGTGAAGTGAAAAAGTTTTAATAAGCCGTATCAAACAATCGTGGCATTAGAAAAACGTTACACTTACATTTTGCTTTGAATCGAATTAACATAAACTTGAGCTTCAAAGGAATCAGTTTCACACTTTTTATGCTATGTCAAATATGTATACACTAGATTTAGGGTCGAAAAACCATGAATGGGCATTCTACTTTGGCCGTCCGGTAACCTCAATTACTGAAATCCTCCGCGTGAAAAGCGAACCAAAATTACTTAATAACAGTTTTCTATGAGGCCGTGACACCACTTCGGTCAAGTCGGGTTATAATTGTATGTCCAAGCAGGGCGTTTCAGCTTTAAATCTTTAAGTAAAACTCTTATCGTCTTCTTACCCAAATTATTTGCAGATGAAGAACTATACTATGCCATTCATCTTTCCTGCTGAAAGGAAGTGAGAAGCCTCGTTCCCTTTCATGCAGTCCATCCATGTTTTCTTTGGTCACCCACATTTTCACCCTCTGTATTACATATCTAAAGTTCTATTTTCAGATTTCACAAGTAAAAGTAATCGTATCGTCTCTCCTATTGGAGTCTACAATCAAAAATGGACATCTGCGTGTGACCCTGGATCTTTGTTTCGTCGAGCTACAGCTTTCTCAGTTTCTTTTCCGTTCGCAGATTTGCGATATTCATCCGAACACCTCCGTTCCATCGATTTTCATTACTCCAATTTACTTTCTTCCTTTATCTCGTATTTAAACCTTAAATATTTTTTTAACCTCAGACATCTCACACATAGCCCTCTGATCCCAAATGTACTATGGTAACCAGACTGCTGTTAAACATACTTATATATTTCTAAATACATACCTATTCCAGATAAATTACCCCCAGATACAGAACAAACGATCGAACGATATTTTCATCACACAACACTTACAACAGTGATCACTTTAAGGAGAAATAAAATTGTTTTCTGCTTCAGTAGTTTTTATTAAGAAATATATATTAACAAAAACTCAAGCCTCAATACAATTTACTAATAAGTAATATATTGGCATTTTATATTGTCTAAATATAAATAACTAAAAGAGTAGAACTAAATTTCAAACTCTGTTCTTATATATATTAAGATTGAATATTATTTAAGCCACTGCTACTTTTAGCCCATTTTGTATATTATTCAAACCTTTACCTAGACACTCAGAAGATTAAGACCATCGCTTAAAAGCAGGCCCCTCATTCACTTTGTTTAAAGGAGTTGAGAGTACGTCACGTATTGCGATCGTTATTCTTCTGCCAACCTTAGATCTTGGTACAGGACGTAAGAGATTTAGATGGTTTCGGATTTATATTTAAACGGCTAGCTCTCTTAATTAAATTGTCTCTGCTCTTTATTTAATGATGGGAATCTGTCTTAGAACTTTACTCTTAATGAAACAACAATAAACTGTATTACAAGTAGTGTACTAGTTACCTCGCGTCACAAATTGGTATCTTAATTGAGGCACCCATCTAGCGATCAAGTGATGACGGATAAGCCATCCTATCAAGAGGGACTCTCGTTAGTAGTTACAATTTTTTATATGTATTATATACATAAAATACAGGATCATGACATGCTAATGCATGCAGTAGCGTATTATCAACCTGCATTGTCAAAGTTTCTTAGAACATCGCTTCATCCATGAATAACAGGTATAGCTGGTTGACATTGAACTTTATCAAGGGTCAAAAGTCAAGCTCGTTCCCCTAAGGGTTCACATCAACTTGTATGTCTTGGAAAGTGTAAAATAAAACAAAATATGATAATTTAGTACACAATGCAATATTCACGATTTTTTACATCATTTTAAATATGACAGTTAAAATGATAGAAAAAAAATAGATCTACTTATTTAAATCGCTTCGTCTTGTAACTTGAAGTCCATCCATTATCCCTAAAAAGATTTGTACCATTAGCTTATCACGTTATGAGTTTTCCATTTCACCTCACAAATTGCGATTGTTCAACAAAATTAAATACTACATATACATATAAGTATTTTTTATTATTATTATTATTTTGTTACAGGGCGCCAATGCGTCGGTTGACGAACATACGCTCGGAATGCAACACCACGAAGAAATGACCAGCATTATAGCAAAATGGCTCATCAATACTGGACGGCATGGTTGAGTATCGTGTACATACACCTTGCGGTGCTCACTACGACATTGGCAGATTTTACTACAGAATGTCAGAGACCTTGTGATTGTAGGTGGCAATCTGGAAATAAAGCCGCCATTTGCTCAAACTCAAGTCTCAAAATAATACCTGCAAATTTAAGCAACGATATTCAAATTTTAGATCTTTCTAACAATAATTTACAACAGTTACATCAAGAGGGTTTCAAAAAAGTGGGCCTAAGTAACTTAAAGAAATTATTTCTCAAAGAGTGTAACATCGAAGTGATCCATAAAACTGCATTTGTAACTCTAGCAATCATGATAGAACTAGACTTATCAAAGAACAAAATTCAGTCACTGCATTCCGATACATTTAAAGGCACAGAGAAACTGAGATTAATAAACTTAAGCTACAACTTTATCGATAAGCTGGAAGACGGAATATTTCGCAATTTAAAGTTCTTGCAGAAAGTAGAGGCGAGTAACAATCGAATACATAGAATAGGAACGAAAGCTTTCGTGAACTTGCCCCAATTGAAAATATTGAGATTCAATGGCAATAATCTGAGCCATATGAAGCCAGAAACTTTGATGGGCTTGAGAAACTTATCTGGTTTAGATTTACACAACAATCCTTGGCGATGTGATTGTAATCTTCAAACATTCAGAGATTGGGTGATCAGTCATAATTTGTACACGCCTCCAACATCATGCGCTGAGCCACCATCTGTACAAGACAAACTTTGGAATGAATTAGATTCTACAAACTTTGCATGCCGGCCGACAATCCTCGAACCGTTACCAGACTTCACGGTCAAAAGTTACGACGAAAACGTGACTCTGACTTGTAAAGTAGTCGGGAATCCGCCACCTGAAGTTGCTTGGCGCTTTAATGGCAAAACTATAGAGATGAAAGCATTTGGAGAAATCAGGTATAGCATTGCTGAAAATACAATGGATTTGATACGGTGGGTAAATCTTACTATTATTTATGCTCGCTATAGTGACAGAGGAAATTATACTTGCGTGGCTGAAAATCCTGGGGGTCGAGACGAGAAAACCCTGACTCTTCTTCTCTCAAAATATGGAGGCGTCGGTTCAATAGCTGGAATGGATACTGATTCCTTTGCAATCCTTGTTGGTTGTTTAACAGCCATTGTTATAATTTTTGGCGCTGCATTAGTTGTCTGTTATTTTACTACTCAAAACAATGAACTCAAAAGACTGATTAAGAACGATGCCCGTTCTTCGAATGGAGAAGCACTAATAGAAAACTCCGTTGGTTCTGAGGCAGAAAAGGCCTTGAAAATTGAGGTTAACCCTGTTACTAAACCGCCTAGGAAATATGAAGCTCCGCCGTCCTTTACAAGTGAAGCTACAGAGATGTCTGAATTAAATCGAACTCTTCTCGACAGCGAATCTGTGTTAGGTAAGTTAAATAATTTTACAGATGTTATTTTCACATTTTAGTAGATATAGCTAAACATATTGATAATCTTAATCATAAAATAAATTGATTAATCATAAAACAAATTAATATTATTCTAAATAATAAACCAACATACGTTTTATATATAAACACCATTAATTATAATGGATCTCAGAGAAAGAATTTCCTTTGAGAAAATGAAAAGCAGGAAAAAGATTACTAAAAAATAAAAAAATAAACTTTAAGTTGTAGGGATTAACGCTTCAAAATGAATATTAACAAAAACATTTCCAAACATTTCATCGTCAAAAACTTACTTATCTCTATTTTCTTACTCAAATAATTATAAATTAAGGCTTCGCCCGAACCTTTTGTTTATCTTTGTTTTAAAATTCGCTCGATTGTTTTGGTTAGAACAAACAAGTTAAATCTGTAGAGTGATAAAATTATTTTAAAATAAACTTTCGAAGAGAAATTCAACAGAAATCTTGGCCCAATTTTGTTTTGATCTTGCATTCTCGAAAGTCAGAGTTATTCTACGTAAATATAAATGCACAAACAATTATTCTATGGATAATTATTCATTTACAAGATACTTGTGTTGTCTAGATTAAACATTGGTACCCAACTTAAATAAACGATCACAGGCTTCCATTACACGGGCACACCATTATCGCGGCGGTAGATCTGTTATGTATACGTCACGGAACCCTCTCATACTGGTTGACGCGGGTGATCACCGGCAAAGGATGCTTTGGAGAACACCCGTGTCTGATCCTCAAAGAGCCAACGCTTGAGTGCCACCACTGCGATGGCCGGACCGTGGATATGGCGCTCCACATTCTGAAAGAATGCCCGGCATGGGTGGAGCAGAGACATTGTCTCGTGGCGGCTATCGGAGTGAAAGTGCGTGGAATTCAGCCGTCTCCTTCTGCGAGCAAATTATGCTTGCGAAGGAGACCGGGAAGGTTTAAAACTCTCCCGCAGAACGACCTCCGTCCTTCATAAACGCAGGCCTGGACGTGACAGGTGAGGCCATCTGTCACATTAGTAGAAGCAGGCCAGGGTGATCTCGAGACGCGGCGCGGAGCGCGGTTTTTGGTCGGTTCGAGTCCGACATAATCACTCTACTGGTGTGTATCTGAGTAAAAAAGGCATAAATCACAAAAAAAAAACAATACTTATTGATGAATCATTTTTCTTCTCTGTCAAGGTAAAAAGTGTCGAGAATCGAAAGCTGAAATTCAATATCAAGTAGATTTCGTTCAAGAGCTGTAAAAACAATAAAGGATGTTTTTGTACAATAATGGGCGTATTACGCTGAATATTTTTTTAGGATTTATTGACCTAAAACTATAAAAACATTTTTATTATTATATAGCATAGAACAAAACCACTAACGTCTTCCCTTTTTATTTTTAATAAACCAGTAGATCCATTAAACATTGTCTTTTATACCAGTTTATTTTAGACTTGCTCATACAAGACTATTTCAAATGACAGTTCTTTAATATAATTCACCCTCACATTGCAAAATCAATTAAGATATGAAAGTGTTTTAAACTTAAGGAAGGATCATTTATTTTTTAAGGATTTTGTGCTATTAATCATAAAGAAATTACATGAATCAATTTTGTATATAATATAACAGATAAAGTTTTTATGGTAACATGTACGAAGCATATTCGATAAAAAATCTTTTCAAAACTGCCCAGAGGCATCAGTACAACGGAATTTAGAATTTAATGATCACGGTTGTTTTGCTGGATAAGAGACAATTCTAGGTACTTGACAAGCCCTTCCAATTTTTTTATGAAAGAGTTAGAAACCCGGTAATGTCAACAACTTTTGACTTGTTATGGGATAGTACTTGGAAATTAATGGCAAAAAAGTCTTTAGATTATTTTCATGTAAATAATACTCAAGCTTTGACAAAAAAAAAATAGGAATTTAGTTTATACACATTCATTAAATTTGTTCAAGATTTATTTGAATTACAAAATTTTATATATATTATTGTTGTAATTATTCGTATTGACCGGTTTGTCAAAATAATTTTTGACAAACCGGTCAATAGGAATATACAAAAAGTTATGTAACGTTACTTAGTATATTAGTAACGTTACATTATTTTTAGTTTCGAAATGAATTTCAATTAGTATGAATTAAAACAAAAATCTTTTTTCGACAGCATCTACAGAGGACAACAGCCGTCATCATGAAATGGAGCCTCCAAAGATACCCCATGAAACTTTACTCATGGACCGTTTAACCCAGGATCATCAAGCATACCCACCAGATCTATTATCATTTCCTCTCAGAGGTCCAAAAGTTTCTCCCGCCGGGGGAACTTCTAAAAGTACGGAAAGCCCGGTCAAGAGTCCAGAATATGGAGTAACAGCCATTGACCATGCTTTATACAGTAGATTTCAAAGTCCTAATTTTCCAGGTTCCATTCCTCCTATTACTTCTAAGGGCTACGTTACACTTCCTCGGAGACCCAGAATGGTACCAGAAAACAATATTCGTCCTCAAGTTTTTTCCACATTAAATGGCGTCATTCCATACTATGACACTTTCAATATGAAATTATTTGGTCATGGAGCCAATTATTACAGTTTGAACAAAAGTGAAATGGATTTAGGGCCGATGGGGAAAATTCCCTTGTATCAAGATGATGAAGAGCCAGCTCCATCGCCAGCCCCTGGTACTCCACATGCCACTATACCCAGAAACAGCTTGAGCTCACCAAACATACACAACCAACTTTTGACTTTACAGGCTATGTCCGTTAACCAGATGATAAAGTCAGAGCAAAGGCCTTTAAAAGTAACTCTGGCAGAACATGAAGGTTTCTTAAAAAACCGAGATTTTAGATCCGGATATTCTGTGAATGTTGTAAGTGGTACTTTAGGTAGATCAAGGACTGCGCCAAAACCGCCGCCTAAGCCTAGAAAAAAAAGTTCATGTGAAGTGAAGGAACAGTTTTTAATGAATGCTACTGATAATGCCACCCAAGTATAAATGTTTAGGGAGTTTAAGGGAAGGCAAATTGAACTTTGTTTCTAGTTGATTACGTCCTAAATACGAGTACGTGACAAAAAGAGACATCTGTGTGTAATGAGAGTTAATTTAAAATCGATTGTGGTAATCACTACCATTACACGCCAATGATTACACAATAATGATACTATTACTATTTAGATGATAGTTTTTAGCCTTTAAATCCGAGTTTCTGTTCCCATAATATGAAGTTTCGATCGTTATGGACATCATAAAGACATAAAAATAAATTTTTATGGTCAACACATTTTCAATGAAGGTACTTAGCTGGCTAGTTAAACTAAATCTCTTGGACCGCTGTTTGAAGAACCGCACATTTTAAATGCTTTTGTTTGAAAATTTAGTCACGTCAGATTATAATTTATGGTTAACGAACAGAGAAATTTTCAGAAATTAAACATTTTTTTAAATACATTATATCCCAATGTTACGTTGATCGATAATAATATTATGTTATAAATTCGATTCAATCGATAAATTCGAATTCAATTCGATAAAAGTAATCAGACAAAGTGAAACATTTTCCTTCCAAATATCGTAATAATTCACCTAAAATTTGACGGATGGGATGACGCTTACGATCCTCCATTCGCTGACGGTGGATTTGTAAAAACAAATAGTCGTCTTCACTTCAATATTTTCAGGTCTAAAACAGCTTAACTCTAGATGGGTAATAAAAACATACTGTTTGCTCAGAATTCAATTTGCCTTCAACAATTGAATCATTTAATATTTAAGGCAGTTTTAGACATATGATGCTGATGCATATAACAATGAATACATCTTTGTCTGTTGTATATAATTTAGCACCCCTAGTTTTGTTTCCTAATTTTGCTTAATCCTAAAATGTAATTAGAGATTTAAGAATTTATTAACATTACAAAGTAAACATTTAATATAATAAATATGATGTGATAAATAGAGACACCGCGAGTGTTATATTACGACAAAAATAAAATTTAAATAATGATATTATGTACTCTGTAACTGTACTTGTTGTAAATTTTATATATTTGACGTTGTATTACTATATACGTTATGAATAACCGTTCTTTCCTCTTAAATAGACAAAAAAATTACTTATAGACCCTGTTACAATTGTATTTATTATTCAAAATTATCAGGAACAGGTTAAAATTGGGCCTTAAATATTTTCTGTTTCTCTTTTGTCCCAATAATACATAAGCTTATATGATTGCCAGTAACAAATATATTGTATAAATTTAAAAACTAACTTAATAAAAGATAAGTAATGTTAAAGATGGATATTAAATAAGTTTCAGATTTTAGAGAGTTGGACAAATTATGTACATTGTATTTATTTGGTCACAATAGCCTACTGTAGATAATAAAACATGCTCTAAACATAAGTTAATTCGATATTGTAAATAATATAAGATGAGCAGCTAAATCTAGTAACTTTGTTTTCGAAATAATAGCAAAAAAAAAGGCCTGATACATCATCTATACAAAAGACTATTTAATTTATTATGAAAAGATTATCGACTGTTTTAATTAAAGAAATAAGCTAAATTGTGACTTAACAACATTAACAGCCTATAACAGTAGTGGACTACTGGACCTAGGCCTCTCCTTAGAAAAGAGGTTTTGGCCTACTATACCACGCTGGCCAGACGGGTTGGTATAGGATTTCTTTCAAGTTTTCCTTCTTTTTGCAGTGCTCTTGTCCTGTGCAGTTTGTTCTCTTAGTCGGCTCTTACGACACCCACGGGATGAATAGGGGTGGTGACATTCCGTATTCTTAATCCGTCACCGGATACGGATACGACATCACGACTAAACAACAATGTGCAAATATTAAGCGAGCGGATTCATGATTGGATCATCCATGTAAATGTTTGATTTTAAATAGGTATGTTAATGTAGCATGAGCTACAACAAGTTGATAACAATTATTCGGGTTCACTCCTATTTCTTTCTTAATCTCGACCTATGTCTACAAATATAAAGAATGTCCGCGTGGTGAAATATGAAGAATACATAGTGTCACCATCCCTTTTTAACCCGTGGGTGTCGTAAGAACCGACTAATGGAGTAAACTACGCTGAACAACAGCACTGGAAAAAGAAGGAAAACTTGATACCAATCTGTCTGGCTAGCGTGGTATAGTAGGCCAAAACCTCCTTTCTAAAGAGAGGCCTATGTCTAGCAGTGGACTCTTAAAGGCTGGTGATGATGATGATAAAATTTATCAATGTTCAGGTTAAGTTTCTCGTGTAAGTGAAAATGCTTGTCTTTATTGAAATATTTTAATATTGCCAATAGACGTTATCTGTTTTTTACTTATATACTTGATATTGTCAAACGATTTTTACTGTTTTATCAACACCTTTTCAATAATGTATTTTAATTATTTAAAATATACTACGTCTATCATTGTCGTATACGTATCTTTATTAAATATTTGTTCGTGTCACTCATTTTGTCCTCAATTTAAAGTATTTATATCTGTCTTTTAACTCTCTTTGAAAAATATGTTATTATGTTTGATTTTTCAAAATACATGTATTTTGTCCTCAAGCTAAAATTGCTATGAGCCGTAAATAATTGAATAAAAAAGGCTTTTTTGTTCCAATAGTCATTGTATAGTTCTATGTTAAGTTTGAAATATTCTAAAGTATTAAATATGATATTAGAGTACGCATTATTGGTGCTTATAAGAATTATACAATAATTGCAAAAATGTAACCATCCAAGCCTTTCTTATCACGTTATATGTAGGAAGTAGAATGGGCTTGAACAAGATCAATTTTAATCTTTATTTTATTTTATAGCAATAACAGATGATAGTTATAAATAAAAATCCAGATTTACAATTCCGATGAATTAATCAGAGACAGTACAAAACCTCTTTTCTAAGGAGAGGCCTATGTCCAGCAGTGGACTTTTAAAGGCTGTTGATGATAATGACGTGTCAGAGACAAGACCATGTCCTTTTTCCGGAATTTATTTAATTAATTATATTCTTTGAATGATTCAACGGAATTCTGTCAGCCTAAAAATAAGGCCCTTTATATTATTCCTGTTATTTGATATCGTTTTTTATGAAACGTCCCAAGCTTCCGGAAAAAAGGGCTTGACAAATACGAAGCGTGACTGATCTCATACTAATAAATTTTCTATTTTGTTGAGCGAAACACTAATAATATAGGAATGTGTAGTGTTAGACAACTTGAGGACTTGTTTTAGCCCACTTTATTCCTCTATTCTAAATGTGTATATTTAAAGTATAGCCTGTATATAAATAGTTAAACTCTGTAAAAATTAATGTAAAGTTTTTTCTATAGTATTAATGATATATTAAATACTTACAACTATTAAAGTTAAGATTGCTTCATCGTAGAAGACGGAAATATGTAAAATTTTACTATAGAAACTCTAAATACTGTTATGTATACCAGTCATTGAATTGAACCTTGAAGATTTTATAGGATATTCTTTGCAGAATACTTGTTTGCCATCGCTTTTTGTCACAAATATTACAAATAAAGTCAAATGTGTAGACAAAGTTGAATAAGTTAAATTGAACTTCGTAATGAGCAAGAAGAACTAAACATTCTGTAAATAATCAAAAAATCTAGAATTTAGAAATGAATACACTTAAATCATTTTCTGGAATCGTCGTTTACTTCCAAATAACTAAAGTTACATTAAGTTATTGATTTGATTTAAAATGTTTTTTCTTTATAAATACATGTAGATGTGTTATAATGGTATTTTAAAAAGGAAAGCTAAATATTTTGTATGTTTGAAATATAAGTGTAATATGTTCACACACAAAAGTAAGAGACAAAACGTAAATTATGGAAATGGCATACTTAAAATAAATTGGTAGAAATATTTAACTTATGTACAAAGTAACATTTTAAATTGTTTCTTAAATTTTGCTAGTCCGGGATAAACAAATCTCATAACGAATTATAAAACAAATTACCGTATAATCTTCCGGATTCTCTCTTTGTACATCATAGTCGGCATAAAACAGATTTAGATGAACGATATTATGAAATTCAGTTAATTAGTTATAATTAATTCTCAGTCAAATAGAAATTGTACGAATTTTATAATACAGGCATGATAGAAGTTCATTTCATTGATCAGTTTGTGTCCGTCTTCTTTGACTGCTAGATATTAAATGAAGGGCTAAAATTTCTTTATGAAATGTAAAAATGTAAATATTAGATATTTCAAATTTATTTGTAAATTGACGAAATACATATAATGGTATGTTGTGGAATTGTGGAAGGACCAATAGTGTGGAATGAATGAAATTGTAATGGTTCACAATGTAATAACGAAGAAATAAATGCAATTTGAAATAAATATACCTAGTTTTATTTGAAGTTAATGTCCAATAGAGAGGAGATATATTTTCTACTGTATGAGAGTCATGATTCGGCACATGGTCGGACTCGACCGGAGTGATACGACCTCAAGACCTCATAGGAAACCGATATTCTAGCTCACTTCGTGAAAAGCAACATAAAAAGTGCTTGACATAAGCACTTTTTATGTTGCTTTTCAAAAAGGGAGCTAGAATATCGGAGATCCAACCTACTCCTAGGGGTAAGGCACTCAAAGGGTGCGCGGTCGCTTGGCATTGGGTGACCCTTGTTTTTTTTTAAAGACAACTCCCGCTTTAGGAATGTATCCTGTGTCGCGGAGGACTTTACAAACATACATGAAACGGACCCAAAGAACATCCAGACTCAGAACAACAATTTGTGAATCACACAAAGTGTCGTCCCATGTGGGGATCGAACCCACAACACTCAGCGTAGTAGTAAGCAGCGTGGCGACCGCTTAAACCTTAAAGTAATATACAGACCGCTTAAAGTAATATACAGTTACTAATGGCTATAGACACTTCATAAGTCAATATTGATTATGACGTCGATTCAAGACACAGCTCTTTACTCAAAGTTAATAATATATTAATA